AGAGCTGTGGCCTGCTCTCCATTGTATTTGTCTAGGCCACATTTTTCCTAACCTTCTGCTTCTGGCATTTTCTCACCTCTATTAAACTTGTGACTTCTCATCTTCACAGTGACCTCTGGAGCTTTCCCTGTCCTTTCTGTTTTTTCATTTCACCCATCTGCTTGGATCTTTACAATTTATTTTCTGTTCTATTCTAGTTGGATTATTCAAACCATTCAAGTTGGATTATTCTTCACTGGATAGGGTCTGCGCCTCTGCTGTCTACATGCCCCAGAGCCACTGTTTATACTCTCTCTCAATGGAAATGTGCTTTTCCTTCCTTCCTTCCTCTTCTTTCAGTGCTTTAAATTTAAATGCACTGGTCCCTCTGTCCACTCAGGCCACTGTCATGCTCAGGTCCCTCATGTTACAAAGTAATTTTCAGGCCTCCCTGGTGGCGCAAGGGTTTAAACGCCACACTATGAAGCAATCTAAGGCCTTTGCAGCATGAGCACCATCCCCCGCCTGCCAGGGAGCAACCCTCCTGTCCCAGCAGATCTCTCCTGACTTGTCCGCTGCTCCCCTCCGCAGTGAACTTCGGTCAATCTGCCTGTTCTGTTTCCCACTCTGTCTGTGGTGAGTCCTCTCACCCCGGAGTCTCTGGCCTGTGCCCCAGCTCTTGTATGCATAAATAAATCTTAAAAAAAAAACAACAGTAATTTTCATTGACTTTGCGGTCTCTTACCATTTTTGAAATGTAACCACTTTCACTTTGCTACTGTGTACTTCATTCTTTCCTGTCTTCCTTTTGTTTCCATTGCTGTCCTGAAACTGCTCTCTTAAAGGCCACTTGGGTTATAAGAGGCTAAATGGCCTGGTGGTAAAGGGACTAAATTGCTAATATCGGACTCCTGGGTTTGAGGTCCAGCTCTACCATTTGCTAATTACTGTGTGACTTCGAGCAGCTTACTTAACTCCATGTCTCTATTTCTTTATCTGTAAAATAGGCATAATATTAGTAACTATCTTTTAGGGCTGTGTGTAAGAATAAATGTATGTAATGCCCTTCTCAGGGCGCCTGGCAAAAGGCAGACACTAAGTATTTTTTTTTTTAAGCGATTGTTTTTTAGTCTTTGTTCTGTGCTGTTGACATTGGACATTGTTGAGCATTCCCTTTTATTTCATTAGTTTCTTCACTGTGTTCAAACTCTAATTAATTCGTGTTGGAGTGTATCTTTTCTAGATACTTTTTTCTGTGGTAATTAACTCCTTTGGCTCCCCTTTTTCTGTGAATGTCTCACCACATTGCATTTCTCTCCCTTCTTTTTCAGCTTCAGTCTTAGATTTATAATTTTGTGGCAGGGTGATTAACCAACATTATCTCTCTCTCCAAATCAGTTCTTTTCTTTACTTCCCTTTTGCTAAAGGACCTGGTGATTGCAGCAGTGTGTTTAAGAACATGGATGTCAGAATGAGAGGGAGGTTGTCTTTGAGCCCTTCAAAGCCCAGGAGACCTTTCTAGATCACTGCAGGTTGGCAGTGCTCTGCGTCCAGCATTAGGTTACTAAGCTGGACGTGGAAAGGAGTGGGGAAACAAAGTTTTATAGCAAATACATTCCTTAATTTTCTTTAGTCAGCGAGGTAAATTCATAAATTTCTTCATGAACTCAGGATGCCTAGAAACTATTTAAACTTGATTTTTTTGAAGGTTTTTTTGAAGATTTTATTTTAAAGGTGTGGTTCTCTCCCCTGGCCCCCTCCACCTTCCCAGCAGAACTGGTAAATACATTAAATTTATGCTCGCATTGCACAGGCAAATAGCAAAAGAATTGATTAAATGTGAAGACATATGGCCATGGTTTTAATTGAGCAGGGGTAGGCTTTAGCCTATTTCTGAGTTGTTATGAGACTCCAGGCTGTGCTGAGAAAGATTTCCTGTTTGTTTTCTGAAATATAGTTTCTTAAATTTGGAATAGACATTTTAGACAAGGATTTCCTTTAATATATTAACTTGCCAGTAAAACATTACATTTCATATTAACAGTAATTAGCAGCACAGTGTTCTTTATGTGTGGGTGAATATAGATTTGTGATGTTTGGAAGTCAGACAATTGGAACTCTCCTTGCGCTGTTTCAGTGTCCCAAGGACACACCTTGACTGGTAGCTTTCTTCCTGTTAACAGTGAATGTCCTTTAAACACAGCTTCATCCCCTAATGGGTTTTGATCTTTAGGGATTAAGCCCAGGAGGACTGTTAACCTAAGGAATGTAACTCAATTAACTGTAAATTATTTAAAATAAACTAATAGCTTTTCCATTTGGAGAGGTTGGCATTGAGGTTTTCTTTGTTTCATTTTTCTCCATCTAATGGTCATTATTTTCTTCTGGCAAATAATTCATTTGTGTAACAGGTGTCAGTAATAATTTTTAAAAGTTTTGTTAACTGATATTTTTAAAAGTTTTTAGAAAAAATTGACCTTGGTTATTCTTTTCCTATCCCAGATCTTTTCCTTGCTACTTAAATTTCATTTAGTTGGAAGATGTCAGCCAACTTTTTGTATGAGTAGGTGTATTCATTAAAAGTAAAAGCTATATAGTTTTTAAAAATAAATAAAATAGTACACACAATAACACACACATTGTTCTCAGCATATCCTTGCTTAGCCAGTGTTGTTTCCCAGACTTTAACCTTGGCTTAACCCTAGGCTCAGTCCTGCTGCCCTGTGACAAGTCTTTTTTACAGTTTGGTGCAGAGCAAATATCATATTATCACCGATAACAAATTTCATATGTTACTATAGGGTTAAATGATCCAAGGTGTAAATCAATTGGCTTTTGTAATCTATTTGATTGGTTTTTTTCTCTTGCAGCATTCAAGGTGAATTTTAGATCTTGGTTTAATGTGGAATTGCTACATTAACTTGGTTTTTATTAAATGTTTTTCCACATTTCTGGTTGGCTATTATGATTTTTCACACTTTGTCTCTGTTCTTTTTCTTTTAAAGTCTGCTCTAGAGCAAACACATAATAAAAACTTGTGGTATTTGTAACCCAGTATAATAAATTCAAGCCTAAACAAGTTAAATCTAATTATAGGACTGCTTTCTAGAGAGGGTATAAACATGCTCTTAAGGACGATTGAGGTAAAGGATATATGAAACCTGAACTTCTCTGCATTTTTATGGGATATAAAGGAAGTAGGTTCTTTTACTCTGCTTATCTGCTACTTTTATTTAGTTTCTGCTCATTCATAATCTGAGCAAGTTCAAATCTAACTAAAAAGTGGGAAGCAGTTAGCAAATACTACGTTTTGTTCATCTCTCTTTACCATCTTGAGGATGTAACAGGGTCCAGAAAATTAGTTGACATTTTCAACTTTTTGAAGGAACCAGAAAGGATAAGGAAACAGAAAATATCTTCTGACTAGACTTCTGTACCTCTCTGACAAGTTGGGATGTCTCAAAAGGCAGAGATTTTTGTAATCTTTCCCAATTTACCAGTTTCTCCCCAAGAAGGAAATTAGGGCACTATTTTTTTTAAAGATTTATTTATTTTATTCAAGAACTGGGGTACAGGCCAGAAGCACAGGAGGGTGAAAGGATTCACCAGAGACAGAGTGGGGAGCAGAACAGGCAGAATGACCAAAATACACTGCTGAGGGGAGCAGCGGGCGAGCGAGGAGAGGTCTGCCGCTCCATGTGGGTATCTCCTTGGCCGCCCGGGAATTGAACCCGCACTGCAGAGGCTGTGGACAGCTTCACAGCACTGTGCTCAACCTGCTGCACCACCTGGGAGGCACTATTTCTGAAGGACTTAGCACAAAGAATTAAGTTGACCGGTTTGAAAATGCACATTGATTTTAATTTTGTCTGCTTTTACAATCCTGGTAGGCAGATTTGTGATTGGAAGGGAGTATAAAAGTTGAAATAATTCTTAGAGAGAAATAGATACTGATTGTAGGCTTGCCTGCCCCTCCCCCCCAATATCTTGAGGGTTGGTAGGATACCAGGCAAGATCCATACCAATACTAGATATTTAGTGATTATATTCAGTAAGGTATCCTTGCCTTTGTGGCAGTTTGTGTGAGAGAATATAAATTTAGAGTAAGTAAATTTTATAACTATGTGATTGAATGCTTAGGAATTTCAAAAAGGCATTTATTATATTTCATTGTCTCTTGTGGAGTTCATTGTGATGTTTCACTATGTTCATTTAGTCCCATTCCATTTGATAGACAGATGTTACTACTTTATTTTTTCTTTTTAAAAAGATTTATTTTTATTTATGCATATAAGAACTAGGGTGTAGGCCAAAGGTGCAGGGGGTAGAGGGTGAGAGGATTCACCACAGAGAGTGGGGAGCAGAACAGGTGGATCTACTGAAATACACTGCTGAGGGGAGCAATGGGTGAGATAGGAGAGGAGAGATCTGCTGTGCCATGTGAGTTAGCTCCCTGGTTGGGGTTTGAACTCATGTCACAGATATTTGAACTCCTGTGCCACCAGGGAGGGCCCCTAATTTTTTTCATTTTTATTGTTTTGAAAAAGTGGTTGGTTTTTACAAGTTTTTTTTTTTTTTTTTTTTTTTTAAGATTTATTTATTTATACAAGCACTGGGTACAGTCAGAAGCGCAAGAGAATTCACCAGAGCCAGAGTGGGGAGCAGAGCAGGCAGAAGGACCGAAGTACGCTGCTGAGGGGAGCAGCAGGGGGCAGGAGAGGTCTGCGCACCATGCAGGACCCTCCTCTGGTGGCCGTGGAGCAGCCGGGGATCGAAATGGAGCTGCAGAGGCCATGGGCAGCTTCGCAACCCAGTGCTCAACCGCTGTGCCACCGGGGAGGCCCTGTTTTTACAAGTTTTTGACAGTGGAACATAATCATTTTATTTTTCTGTTTTCCTCTTGGATATGGTGATTGAATCAGTTTGGGTTTATTGGGTTTATTGGGCAGTTCTTAAATTTTGAATATTCTTTTATATTAAAAAAATCTTACTGAGTCTGTTTTTTTTTTTTTCTTTTATAGCCAACACATATCTCTTTATGGTACAAGCTCGAGGCATAATGTTGAGAGAAAATGTGAAAACAATAGGACATATGATCAGGTTGTACACAAATAAAAACACTACACTCAACGGTACAGGTAAGGCTGCTTCCTGCTTGATCTTGCTTTGCTTCTATTTCTTATGCTTCTAGTCAGAAAGCAGTAAACTTATCTCTCAAGCTCTGGTTTACCTCCAAGTAACTCCCTATTAAAGATGAGGGTATTATCTAATTGTACTGAGAGATTCTCCACCCAGAACTGTCACATATTTGAGGATATGTAAAAGGATAATCACAAACGTCATTGGAATTTTGTGCAAAGGTACTAAAGTCTTGCAAACATACATTAAAGCACTGCAAAAGGCAACTTGTACCTTTTAAAGTCACCTAATTATTTAAGGGAAATTAGTTAAGAAGAATAATTCATATTAGACATTCTGCCTTCTCTCTTTATGCCCACCCGTTCTTATTTCTAAGATGTTTTTCCAACAATGTTTAGGAAATACTTATGTTTTTCTTCTTGTTTTTAATTATAGAAGTTCTTAATACTTTTATGATCTTTAAAAGGATTAGTGGAGACATTATATAAAACTGGAAATCAGTGATTGCTTTTGTCATTTTAAAATATTATCTGGAAGAAGTATCTTTATTAGAATCATAGGAGATTAAAATCTAAGTAATACACGAAACTAATGACTTGATGGTACAATTGATATAAATAGTTTTAGAATTGCAGCAGAGCACTTACGCTCCTATAAGGCAGTGTTTCCTCTTGTCTCAGTATCAGTAGGTGTTGCTTTAAAGGATTCAATGACTGACTTTCAGTTGTTGCATCCTATCCTCATTTTTAATAGTTAAAATTAAAGATTTAATTTATGTCAATAGTTCTTCATAGTGTTACTTTAAACTTCCCTCCTTCTCCTTCCTCTGACCTAATAGAAACTTGCTGTCTCCCAAATACAGGGTTTCTTTCTTAAAATGTGTGTAAAGTGGGTTATCAGTTTTAGACCTAAACATTCGAGACTATAGCATATTAATTTTTAATTTGATGTCACATGTGCTTTAAAACCCATTCTAGTAATTTGCCTAATTTATTTTATGATGCCACAAATCAAAACAATCTTTTTTTGTTTTAAATAACTTTTTTTTAAGATTTATTTATTCATGCATACAAGAACTGGGCACAGGCCCGATGTATGGGAGGGTAGAGGACTCACCAGAGACAGAGCGGGGAGCAGAACAGGTAGACTGACCAAAACACACTGTTGAGGGGAGCTGCAGGTGAGACAGAAGAGTTCTGCCACGCCATGTGGGATTCTCGCTAACTGGCCAGGATCGAACCGGCACTGCAGAGGCTGTGGACAGCTTCACAGCGCTGCACTCAACCGCCTGCACCACCAGGGGAGGCCCTCAAAACACTCTTAATTGTTTTTTCCTTTTTAACCTTAAAGAAATTTCTTCTAGGAAGACTGTCTCATCATAGTTAATATTTTGCTAGTATAACTGGTGTTCTACTTTAATTGGTCTTCTAAATAGTAGGTGAATTTTAGGAGTTCAAAGTGTTCAAAAGCTTCTTTAGGACTAGTTTTATTTGAGTTAGTTGATTGCGAGCATGTTCATTAAAAGAACATTCAACTGAAGAGAGGTGTTAATTGTCTTTAATTTGCTATATTTGTGTAAATGAATGCAGAAAATCTATGCACAATCAGGTTCTTTTTCTGGGATATGACTAAGTTACATGTGAATGTTGAGCTTGATTGGAATTGACTGGTAGGCAAGATAATCTTTCCTCCAGTATTCTACAACTGAAAAAAAAAAAAAGGGAAATTCTTTCCTTCCCTCACCAAGTCATAGTTTCAGTGCAGACTGAACAACCAATGCATACTTTAAAATTTATTCACTTTTAGGAACTTTGAAAGTTTTGCAAATCAGTTAGGAATTGGGTTTGGTTGTAAGAGAGTCAACTGCAGTATTTTAAGCACGTGAGGCTTGATTTCTTTCTAAAAGAAGTCTGGAAGTTAGAGATCTGTAGCTATTGTTGGGAAAATCTTCTCATGCTTTCCATCTTCTGCTCTGTCCAAGATGGATGTGGGGCTTCATTCTTTGTATTTGTTCTTGGGTCAGTAAGGAGGAGGTAGAAAGAGGGAAGAAGACTAGAGTGTCCCTTCTTTGTTTTTGTTTTTTTTAAGATTTATTTATTTATTTATACAAGAACTGGGGTACAGACCAGATGTGTGGGAGGGCGAGAAGATTCACCAGAGGCAGACTGGGGAACAGAACAGGCAGACTGATGAAATACACTGCTGAGGGCAGCAGTGGGCGAGACAGGAGAGGTCTGTTGTGCCATGTGGGACCCTCGCGGGCTGGCCGGGATCGAACCGGCGCTGCAGAGGCTGCAGACAGCTTCACAGCGCGGTGCTCAACTTCCTGTGCCACCAGAGGAGGCCCTAGAGTGTTCCTTCTTAATGAACCTTCCTAGAAATCCCACACTTAGAGCTCGGTACCTTTGGTGGTCTGAATGAAATTGTGGTTTTGTTACTTAAGGGGAAAGGGAGAATGGAGTTTTAGGAGGCAACACTAAGGTTCTGCCATATTCATTTCTGCCATAATATTGAACTATTAATATAGTTAGTCTATTTAACTAGGAATTGAGACACTGCATTAAGAAAAGACATCCTTTATGTGAGAATATCCAGACTTCTGGGAGATAGAAACATAGTTATTCATAATGCAATTGTTTATTTCTGCACATGCTTATATAAATATAATTTGCCATAGAGGAGATAATGGCCAATAAGTTATACAAAGAGCCAATTGAACTCTTGGTGAGACTTGATTAATGTGTACTGACTGACTTATTTAAAATTTTAAATTTAGATTAGATATTAAGAGTTCTCATCAGAAGAAAACCACTAACTGAATGAGATGATAGATCTTAACTAGTTGTGATGAAATTTTGTAACATATTGAATCATTGTTTTGTATACCTTAAGCTAATATGTCAATAAAAATAGTTTACAAAAGAATAAAATTTAACACTTAATGATGGCAAATGGGTTGGATGTTTATAAGTACATTTGATTTCCAAAAGAATTATTCAACCTTGTGGGCCTCCCTTGTGGCGCAGGCGGTTGAGCCCAGCACTGTGGGGCTGTCCGCACCCTCTGCAGCACCAGTTCAATCCCCGCCAACCAGCGAGGGTCCCACATGGCACGGCAGACCTCTCCTGTCTAGCCGCTGCTCCCCTCAGCAGTGTATTTCATCAGCCTGCCTGTTCTGTTCCCTGCTCTGTCTCTTGTGAGTCTTCTCACCCTCCCGCACATCTGGTCTGTACCCGGTTCTTGTATGAATAAATCTTTTTTTTTTAAAGAATTATTTAACCTTGTTCCTGACTTTCTGAAGCCTCAAATATAAATAGGTATATATATCATTCTTGTAAAGAAATCACATACTGGGATAATCAAATGGTGCCTTGCCTTGTAGCCTATGGAATTGGTCAAATTAAGAAAACAAGATGAAAAAAAAAAAAGAAAACAAGATGAATTTACTGAATAATAACTGAAGCAGATGAGGGGGGGTCCAGTGATGTGAGAGATGGTAGTTTTGTTAGAAATAACCCAGCTTAATTATTTGATGGCTGCATAGTCTGGGGCTTCAGATGCTGCCAGACATGGCAAGACGGTGGTAAAGAAACTAGAGCTCTCATTTAGTTTCTGATACAGTTTTAAGCTTGCCCATTGCAGAAAAAGCAAAGTTCTTGAAAGGTCTCCTTAGGTCCTCTTCTTTTCCCTTGAGTGAGAAGCTGAATAGGGGCACCTGTCCAGTGGTGTTCATTCTGTTTCTCTTTTCTTTGGGTGTGGCTCTCGAAGGGAGTGAGAAGGCAGGGGCCCTAGAACTCACTGTGTTTTCATCCATTCATTAGATGAAATAATGTCTACATTTTCAGCAGTTGTGGTGAATTAGTCTCCAATGCGTCTACCTGCACAACCTTTAGAAGTTGCTCCCAATTTTGAAAATAATAGTTAGGCAAGATGGAGCTAACCACCTTTGTAGGAATGATGATTTTGTAGGGTTAATTTAATATAGTCTCCAAAAGCTTAGATTATTGTTGGTTATATTATCATGGTTCACTGGGTGATTCACTCAGTCATGTGCTTTATTCTTTATTAATTAAGATTTGTTATTGATCATTGGGAGTTCTGTATTATGTTCTGACAGTTCACCATCCCAGCAAGTTTGTACTGTGTTATAGGTACTTTATTAGATTCTAGAAATCAAAGACAATTTGATTTCAATTAAGAGAGGTGTTCAGACTATTGGCGGGGGGTGAATATCATATATAATGCATTGGGATGAACTAAGTACTAGTGGACACAGTTCTCTAGGATTGCAAAGAATTTTCAGTTTAAGTCTGGCAATGGATTGAGATCCTTGTAGTCATTATGATGTGGCCAAGAAGAATGCATTTAGCTCTAAAACTTTGCATTCAAAGGAAGTAAATATACTGATACTGCATTTCTTCTAAGTTTTTTATGTGATTTTAAAAACCTGATAAAGGACTTTATCATTTTATTAGTTTAGAATGAGAGTCACTCATTCTAGCACAAAAATAAAAAATGAAACAACTGTCTGTTGCTTCTAGACTCCCCAGGGAAACTACCATTAAAAGTTCTGTAAGTTGAATGTGGATAAACAGAATCATCAGGGAAGTGATGAAGAGTAAGACAGTGCTCTTATTTAAAGTTAACCACATGCCATTAAGAAATTATTTGAGAATTACATAAAAATGTTAATATTGGCCTTAGGAGTATAAGGAAACCAGTTTTGGGAACTCATAAAGGCAGTGGACACCCAACCTTATTTTCTATTTCTAGTTCATATAAATGCACAGTATATAGTAGTTGTTTAGCTAACATAGCAGGAATTTCCATAAAAGGATTCTTTTGACTATAACTTGAAATTTGATGTATATCCAGATATATATATTTAATACTATCAAGGAAAGAGTTATAACTTTATTGAACTTCCCTCCATTTATGTTTAAGATCTTTAAATCTTTCAGATATATATTGAAGAGGTAAAGAAATAGGCTACTAAAGAGGTTTCTGTGTTCTTCCTTTTCCCTGGGCATACAAAAACTATCACTGAATCCCCCCATCAGTTTTGTTCCCTAATCCCTTTTCCTTAAGCTTTACTGATGCCTTGTCAAGTTCATGACTGGATTTCTGCAGTCCTTTGGAATTGGACCTTCTCCTGCAGTTTCTTACTTTTCCTTTGTGCCAAATCCTCACAAACCTCTGCTTAGTAGCCTCTGTAAGGCCTCTTTTTGCAGGTGGGCCTGGAGGTGGGTGAGACTTTGCTCTGAAGTGCCATCCTGGCTTCCAGCTGCATCCCTGTCAACTCTGTTTTAAAGATTAATGTTTAGGTTGACAAAGGTATGTAGGGAATGAACATGTTTAGTTTTCTTTGACTTTCCTCATTACATATTCAGTCTCCTGGTCTCTACCATTTTCCCATGGTGAGAGAGTTTAGCTTTTACGTTTCAATAAGGATATAACTTTGGCTTAACACCTTTTGCTTGCTGGTCACTGTCAGGCCTCTCTTTTAAATCACATACCTGTTGTCTTTCCTCTCTTTGTTTTTCAGACTAGCTCAGATAGGAATGTTTCTGTTATAGGAGCAGTTAACTGAAAATTGAAAACATGTTTTCCCATTTTCCTGAAGTGTCTGCTTTGCACTTAAAGTGAGCTTCATTTTCTGTGAATTCATGGTTTGTGCTTTAGGAGACAGACATTAGTTTAATGGCTATTTTCTTATCTCTTTACTGCATTTGGTCTCATTCTTTTGGACTGACTTCCTCTTACATAGGAAACTGGCAGGTCATGGTTCACAGATTTGTATTTCAGAAGTTTGTTCCAAAAATGGACTGAAGTGTGATCTCTTTGTTTCTAAGTTCAAAAATCCTACAAGTCTGGCTATGTTAGGTCACATACTAATGTTTAAACCAGTCACTTATAGCTGGGATTATTGAATATGCATTTGGTTCAGAGGTTATTCTAAGTCATTTGTACACATATCTTTTTTTTTTCTTAAAGATTTATTTATTTATTTATACAAGCACTGGGTACAGTCAGAAGCGTGGGAGGGTGAGAGAATTCACCAGAGCCAGAGCGGAGAGCAGAACAGGCAGACTGACGAAGTAAACTGCTGAGGGAAGCAGCGGGTGGCAGGAGAGGTCTGCGCACCATTGCGGGTCCCTAGCCTGGCGGCCAGGGATCAAACCGGCGCTGAGAGGCTGAGGGCAGCTTCGCAACCCAGCGCTCAACTGCTGCACCACCGGGTAGGCCCTCTACACATATATTTTGAAACCTGAAAATGACAGCTGAGTTTGGTCCAAAGGAAAAACTATGTCATGCCTTATACCATCAACCACAAAGCAAATGTGTGTGGGAGCAGGGATTTGAACTCAGCATTTGACTTTGGTGCTAAACCCATGCTCTCTATGCTGTACAGCTTGATGAATGTGAAGATAATGGATCTAATGTAATAATAGCTCTAGGGCTCCCCAGGGACTGTGCTCCATTTGTTGTAAAGATTTAAAAGGGGCTGTGTTACAAAAGTAAGTGGACTGGGTAAATCTGTTTCTTAAGTGTGGGTGGTGAGAAAATGTCACTCTCACCCTTCTGCTTTGTGGATGCAGGAGGCTGTGTGCTGTGGCTGAACACTCCTGGCTGTTTGGATTCTCTGCTGGACTTTGCATACTCTTCCTTTGATTTGGCAGGAGTGGGAGCAGGTGTTCTCATAGGGTCACAAATAGGCCTGCTTTGTGTGCATGGGTGGATCAGGTCAGGCCACTCCAGATTTGTACAGGGGTTCCTCTGGGAAATCATGCTGAGAGGTCCATCTGGCAGTGGTGAGGAGTGAATGAGAGAATGACCATGGTAGCTGTGTTCTGCTTTCCTCTAGGTCTTTATAGATAATTGCTTTTAAGTGCTTCTGTATATTTTGTGTTGTAGGCTTCTCACAGTGACAGTGACATATTTTATACTAGGAACAAAGCAAAATGCAAGTTTTTGGTTGTAACTTTTTTCTCTTTCTCCAAGATTATCCTGAAGGCAATAATTCAAGTGATTATCTCATTCAAACAACAACGTATCTTCCAGAAAACTTCACTTATTCACCATACCTCCCCTGCCCAGAAAAACTGCCTTACATGAGTAAGTGTAATCTAATTTTGATTTAACATTTGCTTGTATTATAAAATAATAAAAGTCACAGGATTTGAGCATACCAGACTTGAATCATTACTGTTGGTGCTAATGTTCATATTATGCAGCATGTTGTTTGACGTTTTTGGATTTTTTGGCAAAGCATTTTTTGGAGGTGAGAGAGGGTTTGAAAAATTGAAAAAACTTATCCCTATGCAAAAGGAACCTTTGTTAAGAGTTTGAAGTGTATTCTTAAAGGTTTTAATTTTTTTTACATAGATGTCTAATAAAAAAATTATATTTCAGAAGTTTTAAGAAATTCTAATGATGTTCTTAAAATTAAATTTCATTCTGCAACTTGCTTTATTTTTTTGAGAACCATCTTTGTTGATACATAGTTTATTTCTTTCCCTTGATTGTTGTATGTCATATATTTTTGAGTAAATATATGTAAGTAAATACAGTTTGCCTTTTCCCCTGCTAGTGGAAATTTCAGTCATTTCCACTTTTTTTGCTACTGCCAAGTAGTGCTATAAGGAACAACACAGTAGAGACTTCCCTGTGCGTGTGTGTATGTGCTCGTGGGTTCATACCTGGAGTGGAAGTGCTGGTTAGGCTGGCTGGGTTTCACTCAAAAGACGCTTCACCAAGTTATAGCCCCAGTAGAGAAGCAGGAATGTACCATTTTGATGTTGCGTGACCGATTTCTAAATTTCTTTTAATTTTACAGATTGCTGTTATTATAAATTAAAGAAATCTCATTGTTTCAGTTTTCATTTTCCTCATTCATAGTGGGTTTGAATAACTTTTCATGTGCTTATGAGTGGTTTTGCATTTTCTGTCTTGTGATTCACTCAGTCATGTGCTATATCGGCTCCTTATTGGTAATTAGGGTTTTTTACTGACGAGTAGAAGTTTTATATATATATATATATATCAGCAGTGACTGTTGTCTCTGTATGTGTTGCAATATCTTTTCATGATCTCTGGTTTGTTTTTTCATTTGCTTTATAGTATCTTTTACTTTACAGAAGTTTAAAATTATGATGTTTTCAAGCATATTCATTACTTTATTAAAGTATCTCCCTTTTTTGTCTTAAAAAGCTTTCCTTACTCTAAAATCATACTAGGGCCTCCCCGGTGGCGCAGTGGTTGAGCGCTGGGTTGCAAAGCTGCCCGCAGCCTCTGCAGCGCCGGTTCCGTCCCTGGCCACAGGACGAGGGTCCCACATGGCATGCAGACCACTCCTGCCGCCCGCTGCTCCCCTCAGCAGTGTACTTCATCAGTCTGCCTGCTCTGCTCTCCACTCTGTCTCTGGTGAATTCTTTCACCCTCCCTTGCTTCTGACTGTACCCAGTGCTTGTATAAATAAATAAATAAATCTTTAAAAAAAAATAAAGTCACACTAATACTCTTACTTCCTTCTAATACTTTTACAGCTTTTTAACTTTCATATATAATATAAGGCATAGGGATTAAAGTACTATATTTGAAACATTTTTTCAAAATTATATGAGGATTATACATTATCTTTTTTTTAAAGATTTATTTACTGATGCATTTAAGAACTGGCATATAGGCCAGTGGTGCAGGGGGGTGAGGAGATTCACCAGAGAGAGTGGGGAGCAGAACAGGCAGATTGACTGAAATACACTACTGAGGGGAGCAGCAGGTGAGACAGGAGAGGTCTGTTGTGCCATGTGGGTCACCTCCCTGGCCATGGATCAAACTCATGCCTCAGTGGCTGTGGATAGCTTCAATGTGCTGTGACTTAATCCCTTGCCCCACCAAGGAGGTCCCTATCATTATTTTTTTTTGAAACACTGTAATTACTCAGAAGCACATGGGTATTATTTTGGCAGATTCCCCCCCCCCCACACCTAATTTTAAGCATCCTTTGTACATATAAATTTGTATTTTTAATTTTATATAATTAAAAATTTAAACATCTTTTTGAATTGCTTGTTTTTGCTTATTTCTAATATCCTTAGTATCTTAAAGTGTTCTTTTATGTCTTACCATGATTTGTTTAAAAGAAAGTAGACTTTATGTTTGTAGGATTTTTTTTTCAGTTTGTTATTGGCAGATTCTCCATATCTATAAATGAAAGAAAGGCACAGCTTTTAATATTATCTAAAGCTATAGTTATCAATCCTTAAGGTTGTATCACCTGGATCACCTGGTTTCTGGACCTCACACTCAGAGTTTTAGATTCAGTAGCTCAGAAGTGGGGTCTGAGAATTTTCCTTTCTAACAGGATTCCTGGTATCATTGATTGTGATGATCCTTGGGTCACACTGCTCATCTAGGCTAGCAACTCTCATTCCTGACTGCAAAAACTTAGGAAGATTATGTAATTCTTGGGCCCAGCCCCTAAGTTTCTGATTTCATTAATCTGACCTGGGACCTGGCAATTGCTGCTTTAAAAAAAAAAAAATCTCTGTTGATTATACTCTTGTTATCGCCTTGCTATTCCATAATAGAGAATGAAGCTGTAGTTTTCATGGCTGTCATTACTTTGTTACTGCAGGCTTTGCTTTCTAAAAATGAATGCTTCTGTCTATGTAATACTGAAACCACTGAATAATAAGGCTGTTGAAATATTGATTACAATAATTTCATTTTCATAATTTGCATATTCAAGGGTTTGTAGTTTTAGGAAATCCTTCTGTTCTTCGTTTAGTTGCTATTTTCTTAATTAGTCCTTTATGGGTGCTAATTATCTATGTTTAAAAGCATCTGCCTGCCAGGCCTTTTATGCTGGCATGCCTCTTCTCAATTACATCACTCATTGATACTGCTGTCCTGGTGCTTGAGGGATTGTGTCATGACTGTTACTCATGCCTTTTCACTGAGAGTCTTAGTGCTACTGCTCCATCTTTCTGCTTCCCAGAATATTGCATTTTTCTATGAGGGAGGATCTCATTGGTTTGGCCAACCACAGAAGGCTTCCTCTTGGGCTGCCAGATTTGGGTCCTGACCAATTCCTTGTTCAGTTAGCTATAACCAGAGGGAAAGGGTAATTGTTAGAAAATGTGGCTACAGACAGCAAATCCCTTAGAAAGGGGCCCAAGGGTATATACAGCATAACCTGCTTCTGCTGAGAGGCTCTTGGCATGAGTTGGCCATGAGAGCCCCTTCACTAGTTTTGTGGCCTCTGCAAAGTGGAACCTCAGTTTACTTGTCTGTAAGATTTTGCATTGTAATATCAACCTTAGAGTGTTGTGAGGGTAAATGAAACATAGTGCTTGAAACTTGTTAGACATTATTTTCATATAATTGTTGGGGGGAAGGGATGTCCTGAATGAACTCCACAAACACAGGTTTTATGGACCCCACCCCCACCCCGGACCAAAGAGATCCAAGACACCAAGGACTACAAATCCCATAATGTCATCACCACTGAAGGGAGGTTTGCTGGGAACTGAGGGTGGAGTTAAGCAGCCAGGCTTGGTGTATAACCAGACATGTTGGCCGTGGGGGTCCTTGGTTTTTTGCTGGTTTTCAGTGTGCTATTGTTCCAGCTCTGTGGAACTGGCAGGGCGCATTCAACAATTTATCGCTCTCTCTTTCTCCCTGAGTCATTGCTTTCTTCATTCCCCCCTTTTTCTTTGGAAATAATCTCTTTGTTAATCTTTCTGTGAGTGCCTGTAGTTGAGTCTCAGATTAAAAGTCCCTTTTAAGCACCAGTGAGGATCCACAGTCAGGCAAGCCATTCCACATTTGGGTTGCCCTGTAACATTTCCTCCTCTGCACTTCTTTGATTGATGGAGCCAGACTTTACAGTGATCAAGGGAGTAAAAAATCTGGGAGAGATGTGTGGAGTTAAGGATTTTTATACTTAGCTAAGCATCCTTAATTTTTAAAAACTTAATAGGCTCCCATGCCACATTGATGGTACAGACTAGTATAGTAAAATACCTGACTGTAAAATATTGTTATAAAATCACACAAAATATTTAATATGCTGTCTCCCCAAATAATAGTTAAATTTGTATGAATAAGATCTCCTTAGAGAAAAACCATTCATTTTCTTTAATTTCAAAGTGAAATTAAAGTTTATATTTATGTGTTTGCTTATCTAGCTGTAACTTAAAAAGTTTTTTTCTCTATGGGCCTCCCCGGTGGCGCAGTGGTTGAGCGCTGGGTTGCGAAGCTGCCTGCAGCCTCTGCGGCACCGGTTCGATCCCCGGCTGCTCCCCGGCCACTGGAGGAGGGTCCCACATGGCGCGCAGACCTCTCCTGCCACCCGCTGCTCCCCTCAGCAGTGTACTTCGGTCCTTCTGCCTGCTCTGCTCCCCGCTCTGGCTCTGGTGAATTCTCTCACCCTCCTGCGCGTCTGACTGTACCCAGTGCTTGTATAAATAAATAAATAAATCTTAAAAAAAAAAAAAAAAGTTTTTTTCTCTAGTGTATCTATGGGATTACTGACCCTGGATTTCCATAAAGTTTGAACCTTTCCAATTGAAATTCAAATAAAATGAATTTCATGAATATTATATAATCAGTTACAGTAAAATTAATTTTAATGTGTATTATTTATACAATATGAATGAAAATGTCCATTACTGTTAGTATTTATTGGTTCTTTGGAGGCAAATCTACTTTCAGCTATATTAAATATAGGTGAGACTCTCCTTGTTAATACAGTGAAATAAAAATTTCACTTTATCCAAAGGTGAAAAAGAGCAAGTGCTTACAATAGATGTTTTGATTTTTCTGGGAGAGGTGAGGATGGAAAATGTCAATTGTGTATTTTGCGTTAAAATGAAGATACACATAGACCAATGGAATTGAATAGAAAATCCAGAAATAAACCCACAGATTTATGGTCAACTAATCCCACTGCTGGTGGGAGTGCAAACTGGTCTAACCACTATGGAGAGCTGTGTGGAGATTTCTTGAACTACTAAACATAGAGCTTCCATATGATCCAGCAATTCCACTCATAGGTGTTTACCCAAATGACACAGAAACAGTAATTCCAAAGGGCACCTGCACCCCTATGT